TGTCCTAATGAAACTGAAGTTGAAGGACCACGAGAACAATTTTGAAATTGAGGGATTCAAATGCAAATCGGGTCTAAATTCGGGGACTAATAAAACGAATAACCCTTTTGTTTTCTTTTATTCATAGATATTAATTATATATGGCCTCCATATCCCAAGAGTGTTCCTAAAGTTAATATCTAATTGCGTTGTTAATTCTACCGATCATAAGAAAAGGATTACAATTAACATCGACAAAAGAACTAATAATGTCAAAGTTTTGAAAGATGAGTTGTATGAGTAAGCAACTAAACTTTTATTTTAAGTAGTTGATTCATAATGAAACAATCTAGTTATAGTTAGTTAGTTGTCTAAACTCAAAACTAAAGTTCACTTAATGACCCATTTCTTGTTTCTAATCTAATGAAACTCAATGGAACCAAGTGACGAAACAAGAAAATATTGTTTTGGTCTGGACTTCTTTTTCTCTTTTTGGTTTCTCATCTCAAGTAGAAACAAAAAGAAAAGGCTAAAATGCGTTTGGATTACAAGATCTTTAATGCACTTGCGTATAAAATCCTACAAAAATCCTCTGTTTTTCAATTCTCTCTGCCCAAGGTTTTTTCTCCCTAGAGTGATCAAGTCAGTCAGGCTCTGTTGGCACTAAATCTTGAATAGATAGAGATGAGTGCAACTTACAAGTGGGATGGACGATCAAGAGATCGATTGGGTGTTGGATGCCGATTCTTCCTGTCCTTGGATGCTGATCCTGAATAGAAGATAAGCGAAGCTCGTGAGGTCTATGGAACCGGTTTGGAACCAGCCTAAGACCCTCCGATGCTCAAGTAAGATTGTTTTTAAGAGCTCTTGCTGTTGACCATATAGAAGTATAAAAGTCAAGCTGAAAAGTCTTCCCCTGTATTGTAGTGGAAGGGGCATACTTATAGAGGGCATTTAGTATGCTCTTAGCGCTCATTTTCGATGTGGGACTCGTGGGAGGGCTCTATGAGGTTGACACGAGTCCTTAGATATTTCAGGCGGGTGCTTCGAGGTTGATTCTGCAGAATCGGTAGGGGATACCGATTGTAGGCTGTGTTGGGCCCTGTAATGATCTTTTGCTGCTTTGAGACAATATCATCAGTAGCCTATGCCGATTGTCCGAGGCCTTGGGTGCTTGGGCGAGTTTATGAGATCCACGTGTCGTTGTACGAGTGGAGGGTCAGATATGGTACAAACAGGCTCAAAATGCTGACTTATGAATATCCTTTTTCTTTTTTAAAAAAATATATAAAAAAATATGAAATAAAGTACAATGAATAATATTTGCCCTTATCATAGCCTTTTGGGGTGGAATAAAAAATGGCAATGCTGGCACTATTCATGTAAATAGTGTCAGCTCTTGCATTACCTTAACCTTTTGGGGTGGACATGCTTTAATGACTGCCAAAAAAATGAAAAGAAAATGGAGAACCTATAATTTTTTTCCTTTCTCCAAGCGGGCAACATACATCAGTAAAGGAGAGAGTGAACAAAACAATATAATATGAGGTATGAAATGGGCGTGCTTGTTATTTTCGTGTCGTATTTGTGTCAATTTGGTTTTTTTAACGTGTTGACATGACCTGTTAAGTTAATAGGTGAAAAATACTTGATATGAACACAACATGTTAAAATAACGAATGATACGGCACAACCCGTTTCACCCGTTAGAACAAAAAAAGTAAACTGAAAAATAATAATAATAACCACATAACAACTCTACGCAAACCCTCCCCCCTCCCCCTCTTTCTCTCTCCCTCCCTCCTTCCCTCTTTAAGAAAAATTATCTGAACTCAAATTCACGATTGTAACATAAAAGCAACAAACAATATGTAATGTCATTAAAAAAACCTTAAGGACAAAATGTGATAATTTTGCGAAATTGAGGGACTATTTGTAATAAATAAATAAAAACCTTTTATAAATAATAGAATCTAAAAGGTAGACATTCAAAGAGAATAAGAGTAAGAAATCACCACTATTGCATCAATAGCGTTGTTTCTTTTTCAAAAGAAAGTTCCAGTCAACTTTCCCAAAAAAAATTTCAAGCTATTTTCACGTTCCCTCTTAAGCTCTGTCCGTCTCTTCTCATCATCTCTTCTATCTCCTACCTCCTCTTCCCTCTCTAGACCCTAAAATCCTAAAATCCACACTAAGAATCAATAAATTCCCTAAAACCCAACTCAGCGAGGCTGTGGGATTTTTATCTTCAGAGTTTTCTTTTGGCTGACAATGGCGGGAGCGGGCCATGCAATCGGGATTGACCTAGGGACAACATACTCTTGTGTGGCTGTGTGGCAGCATGATAATATAGAAGTTATAGTGAATGATCAGGGCAACAGGACCACTCCTTCTTATGTTGCTTTCACAAATACTGAGCGCTTGATTGGTGATGCTGCATACAATCTGGTAATAAGAAACCCCACCAACACCATCTTCGGTAAGCTCATGATTTTCTCCCATACGAGTATGACCAATTAATTTGTTTATCAAATCAGCTTTGAATTTTGCTGAGGCTCTGCTTCTTCCATTTGTTTTAATTTGTCTTCTTTTTGTTCTTGTTTTGTTTCTTAAGTTCATAGTTTAGTTAAGAAGGTCTACTTATTCATTATTGTTTGCTTGTAACATAACAACTAATTAGTAATATCATTGTGGCAGAGTGAGAGAGTGAGAGAGTGACAGAATTTTTATATTAACGATATGCTTTTATTTTTATCTTATGACCTGTTTCCTTGTGGAATTGTGTATTAATTTCTAATTTCGTCATCAATTTGCAGACGCAAAAAGGTTAATTGGTAGGAGGTTCAGTGATGAATGTGTTCAAAATGATATGAAGCATTGGCCATTCAAGGTCATTCAAGGTCCTGATGATAAGCCAAAGATTGTGGTTACCCACATGGGCGTAGAGAAACAATTCGCTGCTGAAGAAATCTCATCTCTGGTTCTTGTAAAAATGCGGGAGATTGCTGAGGCCTATCTTGGTTCAACTGTGAAAAATGCAGTTATCACAGTCCCTGCCTACTTTAACGACTCACAGCGACAGGCTACGAAAAATGCAGGTGCTAGTGCTGGGCTAAATGTGATGCGTATCATCAATGAGCCGACTGCTGCAGCCATTGCTTATGGTCTTCACAAGAAGGCCGGTTGGTATAGCAAGAGAAATGTGATGATATTTGATTTGGGTGGTGGTACTTTGGATGTTTCACTACTTACCATAGCTGACAGTGTCTTTGAAGTGAAGGCCACTTCTGGAGACACTCATCTAGGAGGTGGTGACTTTGATAACAGAATGGTGAATTATTGTGTTGAGCAATTCAAGAGGAAGCATAAAGTGGACATTAGTGGAAACTCCAAGGCTCTTATGAGGTTAAGAAATGCCTGTGAGAAGGCGAAGAGGAGGCTTTCATTTATGTCTGAGACTGACATTGACATTGATTGTTTGGATCAGGGTGTTGATTTCTGCTTAAATATTACCCGTGCCAAATTTGAGCAACTCAACATTGATTTCTTTGAAAAATGCATGGAGCCTGTGGACAAGTGTTTAAAGGATGCTAATATGGACATAAGCAGCATCCATGATGTTGTCCTTGCTGGTGGCTCTTCTAGGATCCCCAAGGTCCAACAGCTATTGCAGCATGTGTTCAAGGGGAAGGAGCTGTGCAAGGGCATTAATCCTGATGAGGCTGTGGCATATGGTGCCGCTGTTCATGCTGCTGTCTTGAGTGGTGGGAATCTAACTGGGAAGCTTCAAGACTTCACACTCTTGGATGTCACCCCTCTCTCACTCGGGGTGCGGTGCACCAAATATGATACTTTGAAGCATTACATGAATTTTGTGATTCCAAGAAACTCTAGAATTCCTGTGAGGAAGAAAACGACTTTAAGAACTATTCAGGACAACCAAGTTGCTGTCGTCTTCCCAATTTATGAGGGGGAGAGTGGAAATTACAAGAACAATAATTTTTTGGGTGAGTTTTACCTTGATGGCATTCCTCCAGCTCCCAGGGGAGTTCCTAATTTTGATGTTTGCTTTGATATTGATTCCAACGGTATCCTGAGTGTATCTGCCGAGGACACGTCCACGGGCCAAAAGAAGGGCATTACAATCAACAGTGATAGAAGAACCTGTGAAGGAATTGAGCCAGCGATGTAAGAAGCATTAATTTATGGCATTGTACTCGTCTACGATGGTTGAAATATGCTATTGATATTTTTAACAGTACTTTGGCAAATGTTTTATTTATGAGTTTATGTTTTATTTTTTACTTTTCTTCCCGAAGAAAGTTCAAATCAACGTGAAAAAATTTCATAACATAAATATTGTCCGCAGCCCTCTTTGTGCTTCAGTTCCCTCCACTTCCGGAAACGCTGAAAAGCCCGTTCTATATGAAAACCAAAGCCTTGAGCAAATGGCTGTTTTGTAAATACTGAGTTCCTTTGTTGTTTGGTCAGAAAAATGAACCTAACCCAATAAAGTTGAGTCATGCATGTCGCAAGGAAGATTTTTTTAGGTTTTGGTTTTGGTCTGGAGGTAGTAAAAGGTAGCTGAGATTGAAAACGTGTTTTAAGGCAGGGATTGAATGAATTGTTCTCACAGTTGGATTTTCATTAATTAATTAAAATTTAAGCATTAGTTTTTTGAAAGGTTGTATTAATTCAACATTTCAACATATTGATTTAAGAAACTCAATAGATAGTGATGCAACGTCAATTTATTTATGGCATTTTAATTTATACACTGAGATTGCTTGTATTAATCAAATGTTACTGGTTTGTAATGTCAAGTCCTAATGCCCTCTCCTCGACTTTTTTTATATAGAAAAGATGGTATTTCATTAAACCGAAAGGAACATTACATGGTAAGAATTAGCATGTTAACGGCGGCCTCGTTAAAACCTTCCCAGAGAAACAAAATCCCAGAGTAGCAAAGAATACCACCCATTCTATTGACTAAACAGAAGAGTCAAACAACTTATACGAAACAAACCAAACTAAACCCCAATCACATAACCCTTAAAACAACATCCCATCATTACATATGTACTGTCAAAGAAGTCCTCCTATGATCTAGAAAAAGCATCATAGTTCTTCGTACAGAGTCAAAAACGTACTATGGGTATCATAATAGATCCAATCAATCACCCAATCGCAAAACTATTGAAACACATCCCATCACTACGCAGATACTGTCAAAGAAAGCCTCCTATAATCTAAAGAAAGCATCACAGTTCTTCGTACAGAGTCAAAAATGTATTGTGAGCATTATAACAGATTCAGCCAAACACTGACCGCCACCTCCAATTTTCTTGATCCAGAACCCCAGCTGACAAGCAAGGGAGACCAAAATTGGCTCTTAGCCTGAAGAAAATTTTGAAGAAAGATCTTCATAGTAGGAACGTTCATCGGTTGCCAAGCCTACGAACATTCCATATGAGAATTATTAGGGAGATCTTGAAGACCCCTTGTGGCTGGTCTCCTTCGCCTTGTCAACAAAATCCTCGATACAAAAACTATGTTTACCAGAAAAATCCATGCCACTAACAATTAGATGCCCAACACCAAATCAGAAACACCCAAACATCGAAAGCTTAGGGATTTTCATACCTTAGATTAAAGCAGAGAGGCAGAGAAATCTGAGAGAGAAGAGGATTTGAGTGAGATTGAGAGAGAGGAGGTGGATCGTTCGAGAGTTGAGAGAGAGAACGAGATATGGTTGATAGAGTGAGGAGTGAGAGTGCGAGTGAGAGCGAGAGCGAGACTTGTTTGCCTGAAGAAAGAAAAGAAAATTGAAAACCAAAATCTGAGAGGGTATACAGGTGTCAAAATTTTAGATGGCAAAAAAGGGGTACAAAAAGAAAGAATGGTGTATATGTATAAAGTCTTTAGTTGGTTGGTACTGTCTTTGTGTTGGTTTGTGCCTTACTGCACTGGAAATGATGGAGAGTTTTAGGCATGGTTTTCAGTTTTTCCATGCCTTGTTCTCTACTTTATTCAAATAATTAGTCACGAAAATTATTAATCCGTATCCAATAACATTTTATAGGGACTGTTTCTATTATCAGTCCCTAATAGCATTCTATAGAGTGTTTTTATATCTGTCTCTAATAAAGGGTCCCTATGGAGCATTTTTCTAGTAGCACATTCATTCATTCTTTGGCTACCCCCTGCCAGTGCCAACCCCACCAAAGTTGCCACTTCTTTTTCCTTTATTTTCTTCCCCACTCTCTCTCTCTCTCTCTCTCTCTCTCTCTCTTTATATTTTTATTTTTTTGGTGGTACAAATCTTTATATCTTGCTTAGCTTCTTGGTGCGGCAACTCTTCTGCCTATTTCTTTTATTTCGTTGGCTGCTGCACTTTTCTTCCTTTTCCTTTATTTTCTTCCCCACTCTCTCCCTCTCTTTCGTTATATCTTTTTTTTTTTTTGGTACAAATCTTTATAGGGAATACTAGCAATCTTCTCTCTAACCTTCTCTTTTGGACCTTCTCCATTTTCCTTATGACATATGCCACTCTCTTTACACTTAAAACAATGTCATTAATGTATCTTACAAATTATCTTTTGTTTTCCAAATTTACCCTTATTAAATGTATTAAATTTTATATTTCCTTTAATTTATCCAAAAAAATTTAATAACTTTCTTATCACCTTATTTAATAAAAAGAAAACTTGAAAGAAAATATCTTATTTTTTCATATATAAAAAAATATGAGTAAGAAAGCCCATAATTTTGTTGCACATAACAATTTTTAATAAGGTGGTGAGGAAGTTATGAAGAAAAAAAAAATTTATAAGTTGAAAGAAAAATGAAAGTCAATACATATAATAAGGGTAAATTTGGAAAATAAAAGATAGTTTGTATGATGCATTAATGACATAGTTTTAAATGTAAGGAGAATGACACATGTCATGAGGTAAAGGAAGAATGTCCAAAAATAGAAGGTTAGAGAAAATGTTGCTAGCATTCCCCAATCTTTATATCTTGTTTAGCTTCTTGGTGCGGCAACTCTTCTTCCTTTCCTATTTCTTTTATTTCGTTGGCTGCTGCACTTTTCTTCCTTTTGCTTTTTCTTCCCCACCAAACACCTATAATTTTCTTCCTCCTCCTCATCCCCTCTAACTACTGACAAAAATAAAAAATTTTAAAAGAGAAACTATAATTTTTTTCCTTTCTCCAAGTGGGCGACATACATCATTAAAAGAGAGAGTGAATTGATTCTAGGGTTAATATCACAAAACGTCCTTAAAGTTTACGAAACTATCAATTTGCATCACTAAAGTTTTTTTTTGTGTCATTCGTGGTCCTCAAAATTAGTATGTGTGATCACAAATGGTCGACCCTGCCGTTAGGTTCCGTAAAAAACTCCGTTAGTTTGTTGATGTGGCATATATTTGTATCACAAAACATTCCTGAGGTTCACGCACCTATCACAAATGGTCTCTGCGAATTTTTAAAATTTTTAAAATTTAAAATTCATAAATTTTTGGTTTTCTTTTTTAAATTTTAAAAAATATATATATATTGTATTTTAAATACACATGACACTATATTTTTGAAGATGTGGGCTTCACATATATGTCACATCAACAAACTAATGAAGTTTTTTTAAAATAATTTAAAATTAATAAAATTTAAAAATTTAAAAATGAAAAAACCATTTATAGAAGATTTTAACCTTGAAGACCATTTATGAACCCTAAACCCTTGGTTTTTCCATTTTAAAGTTTTATGAATTTTAAATTATTTTTAAAAAACTCTATTAGTTTGTTGATGTGGCATATATGTGGAGCCCACATCTCCAATAATATAGTCTCACATGTATTTAAAATACAATATATATTTTTAAATAATTTAAAATTCATACAATTTAAAAAAGAAAACTATTTATGAATTTTAAATTAAAAAATTTCGCATGGACCATTTGTGATAGGTGTGTGAACCTTATGGATGTTTTGTGATATATATATGCCACATCAATAAACTAATGGAGTTTTTGACGGAACTTAACGGCATGGACCATTTGTGATCGCACATACTAATCTTGAGGACCACGAATGACAAAAAAAAAAAAAATTAATGATGCAATCTAATAGTTTTGTAAACCTTAAGGGCGTTTTGTGATATTAAGCCTTGATTGAATTGGTGAAAAGGGTTTTAAGACAAAGTTTTAATGAGGCCACTTTTAGGCCTTTGGTCCTTCAATTGATTCTATTGTAAGTGTTGATGCAAGTTCAATGAACAAAACAATATAATATGAAGTATGAAATGGGTCATGTTTGTTGTATTCGTGTCAACCCGTGTATTTTAACGAGTTAACATGACACGACCCATTAAATTAACTGATGAAAAATACCCAATCCGATACAAACATGATTGCTTAAAATAACAAATAACACGACACGGGCTATTTCACTCATTAACCGCTTGTTGGACTGCTGCGAAGTGGATCAAGATCTGACCCTACATCGAGCTCTCTTTTTAGGAAATTTTTAAAAGTTATGCCTGTTAGTTTTACCCTAGTCAAGTTTCCCCAAAAAAAATTCAAGGTATTTTCACTTTCCCACCAAAAATTTCAAGCTATGTTCACTCCTCCTAAGCATTCTCCGTCTCTTCTTTCATCTTTTCTCTACCCCATCCTTCTCTCTCTTCCTCCATCTCATCTCTCTCTCCTCTCTCTAAATCCTAAAAATCCGAAAATCCACAGTGAAAATAAATCAATTCCCTAAAACCCAACTGAGTTCGGCTGTGTGATTTTTATTTCCAGCACCCCATTTTTCTTCTTTGCTACTCTTCTAGTTTCCTTTTAGCTGACAATGGCGGGAGCTTGCCATGCAATCGGGATTGACCTGGGGACAACCTACTCTTGCGTGGCTGCGTGGCAGCATGATCATGTAGAAGTTATAGTGAACGATCAGGGCAACAGGACCACTCCTTCTTATGTTGCTTTCACAGATACTGACCGCTTCATTGGTGATGCTGCTTTCAATCAGGCCATCAAAAACCCCGTCAACACCATCTTCGGTAAGCTCATGACTTTCCCACATATGACCAATTAATTTGTTTCACAAATAAGCTTTGTAATCTGCTGAGGCTCTGCTTCTTCCTTTATAAAAAAAAAATTTGTATGTCTTCTTGTTTTTGTTCGTTTCTCTCCGACACTCCATAAGTTAGTACTTTTATTAAAACTGATTTGTTCAGTACAGAAGGTGTACTTATTCACTATCGTTTGCTTATAAATTATAACATATAGCAAGTCAGTAATTACTAGTTTCATTTTGGCAGAATGAGAGAGAGAGAATTTGGAATAGTTTACAACATCTTTATGTTAAAAATATGCTTTTATTTTTATAACATGACCTGTTTCCTTGTCGAATTCTGTATTTCTAATTTTGTCATCAATTTGCAGAAGCAAAAAGGTTAATTGGTAGGAGGTTCAGTGATGAATGCGTTCAAAATGATATGAAGCATTGGCCATTCAAGGTCGTTGAAGGTCCTGCTGAGAAGCCAGTGTTTGTGGTTACGCACAAGGGCGTGGAGAAACAATTTGCTGCTGAAGAAATCTCATCTATGGTTCTTGTAAAGATGCGGGAGATTGCTGAGGCCTACCTCGGTTCAACGGTGAAAAATGCAGTTATCACCGTCCCTGCCTACTTTAACGACTCTCAGCGACAGGCTACGAAAAATGCAGGTGCTAGTGCTGGCCTAAATGTGATGCGTATCATCAATGAGCCGACTGCTGCAGCCATTGCTTATGGGCTTGACAGGAAGTCCGGTTGGTATAGCAAGAGAAATGTGATGATATTTGATTTGGGTGGTGGTACTTTGGATGTTTCACTTCTTACCATAGCTGATAGTGTCTTTGAAGTGAGGGCCACTTCTGGAGACACTCATCTAGGAGGTGGTGACTTTGATAACAGAATGGTGAATTATTGTGTTGAGCAATTCAAGAGGAAGCATAATGTAGACATTAGTGGAAACCCAAGGGCTCTTGCGAGGTTAAGAAATGCCAGTGAGAAGGCGAAGAGGAGGCTTTCATTTATGTCTGAGACTGACATTGACATTGATTGTTTGAATCAGGGTATTGATTTCTGCTTGACTATTACACGTGCCAAATTCGAGCAACTCAACATGGATTTCTTTGAAAAATGCATGCAGCCTGTTGAAAAGTGTTTGAAGGATGCAAATATGGACATAAGCAGCATCCACGATGTTGTCCTTGCCGGTGGCTCTTCTAGGATCCCCAAGGTGCAACAGCTTTTGCAGGATGTGTTCAATGGGAAGGAGCTGTGCAAGGGCATTAATCCTGACGAGGCTATCGCATACGGTGCCGCTGTTGAAGCTGCAGTCTTGAGTGGTGGGAATCCAACTGGGAAGCTTCAAGGCTTCACACTCCTTGATGTCACCACTGTGTCACTTGGGGTGGCCACTGCACGCTCCTCTACGGGTGAGAGAGATTTTATGACAGTTGTGATTCCGAGAAACACCAGAATTCCTGTCATGAAGAAGGTGGTTTTAGCTACTTCCGAAGACAACCAATCTTCTGTCCGCTTTGGCGTTTATGAGGGTGAGAGTACAACTGCTAAAAATAATAACTTTTTAGGTGCTTTTGACCTTGATGACATTCCGCCAGCTCCCCGGGGTGTTCCTAAATTTGATACATG